TGATGCTTCACCAGAGACCCGGTATCTAAATGGGCAAAGTGCAAGTTCAACACCTTTTGCCACCAAAACAAGAATTTATGACCAAACCTACACCAAATATGACTGGTTTCTGGTCCAGTATCTTGTATAGCAAGATCACTGTCAACGTCAATGAGTCCAGAAATTATTAGCATGACAACTATTATTAGGTCACATAAAATTTTTATCAGAAGTGGAAAGAAAACCCCCAAGAATTAGAATGGATCATAGCTATACTAGATTTACATCAAAGTTACAATTTCCTGAAAGCAAATCAATAATCATGGGATCCAAGAATAATGATGAGGTGCAGATATGTTAATAAATAGCAAATTCAAAACTTTTACCAGAACTGGAAAATTGATTGTTTTTAACCAGATAATGCAAACAAAATGCAGAATAAAAAAGGATTCATTACAACTAATCTTTTTGTCATTTTTCCCCTTAAAGAATGAAAAGGGATGCATTCAATCAGAATTTTTTTCCTAAAAAAAAGCATAAAATTAGCAAGCTCTTGACAACTAGTTGAATGAAAAAGATCATCAAAATCTTTTGTGAAGTTAAACAATTATATTAATGAAGCTGCAAACATAAATAATACAAATTTGTGAAATTTGTATAACAGGTTGACTTTCCTTTAGACACTGGTACCGCATTTTTGGTATATGGACTATAGTAGTAGTATGAAAGATAGTCCTCTTTTGTCAAAAATACCATTCAACAACTATCCAAAAAAATAAAAGTATGCCATAAGAACATGAAAATACAACAATATCATAACCAAAAGCCATCCATCAAGCATCTGTCAGGTAGGGAAAGCAGTGCCAACTAACATGTATAAAAATGTTACAACTTAACATACAACTAAGGCCACTCACCAGCAAATGCATACCACAGACCTGTTACTCACTAAACCATTAACACAAGCATGTCATACTAACATAAGCGCAACTTAGTAAGGATCAGGAGAGGTAAAATGCACAGTATCAATTTGAAAGTGAAACAACCCACCCTTCGATCATTCTTTGCATGAGATTGTTGAAGAAAGAACCGATGACAAAAAACTATGGCTGTTGCTATAGTTACCTGAGGCCTGCAATGGTCAAAATTAACACCGAAATGTGAATCTCCAATCAAAATCCTAGAACTGGATATCAATATCTACAACATAGCGTAGATCCACATGCATCACAAAAGTAACTTCAGATGCTAGGCTTCCATTTGTCTGGGCAAAGACTCCTATAAAGATACGTAGCTATCTCAGAATAAAGAAAAGCAGAGTAAAAAGAGCAACCTAGTTGGGGAGTGTAAGGGTGCATGTTCTTGTGGGGCTTTACGTACATGCATGCAATCACAAATTGAATTAGTGGGTGTTTCATACATTCAAACAGCCTTACTTGTCAAGAAAGGTTAACTAAAAATTCAGAGTGCAAATTCACACTTTAAGCCCCATGCCTTATGTGCAAATATTCATGATAAATCTGTATCAGCAAACTTACACTTTAAGCCTCATGCCTAAATCCTGTAAGAATGTGCAGTAAGACCTGCGCAGATATGTCTCTTTCTTCAAGCCAATTCCATCTCTTCTAGATGGAGCATAATCCTCTATTTCTTTTCTAGACATGTACCAGCGACCTGTTTCTTCCGCTTTCTTGGCGGCAGTAGAACTTTCACAAGCACTGCTATCAGATGTTCCATTATTTACTGACTCCCCAGACAAGAATCCTGTCATATGTACCAAGTTTTCTTTGCACTGAATTGAGTATATATGAACACTCAGGTTCTAATTGGTTCAAATTACTTCCTTGACATTGTGTAGCAAAGTGATTCTGCAGATCAAGAGAACAGAACTAGATGAAAATAATGCATCTGAAATTCAGAGTAATATAATACAAATGAAATCATATGATATAACATTTCTTCTATATCAATTTTAAACCAAAAAGCATGAAGTTAAAAAGAAATCTAAGAAAGCAATATAATATATATATCTATTTATGCTGTGCCCAATTAGTTTCAGCTCTCTATAGCCTGTCAGTTGCCTTAAGTGAATACTCAAGGTTATGAGTGCAGAAATAAGCAATTTCTCATTTTCATTCATATCTCCAGAGCTGATCCATTGTGTCTTAATGCGACCAATGGTGAAAAGATCATAACATCTACTATATGATTCCAACACTGAACTCCGGTCAAATGCAACAAAGCAAATGACCTCAAGTACATCTCCATTAATCTATATTTGAGACTTGTACACAGAGCAAGGGGACCTTTCAGTTTTTCCACTCTCAATAACCTTTAGTTGTGTCAGTTAAGTCAGTCCTGATGATCAAATGATCTCATTCGCAAAAAAAAGTACGAAAAAGTGAACCCTATTTTGCAAAGAATCTCCATACATTAGGCAATGCAGAAGACTAGACATATCCCCTTTGAATATTTAACTTCATAATTATCACATAATCCTGAAAAATTCCCCTCCTAAAACATTTCACTATTTCAAGGTAAGAAATGCCGGTCCATTACCGAACCCAGAAAGATTTCAATAAATTGATTCATAAAAGACTAAAATTTTCAGAAAAGGATGAATAATCAGCCAATTCCAGACGTAAATGCGATGCAAGGAACAAGATATGTGATAGATCAAACACTTCAAGCAAAGGAAAGAGAAAAGAAGTAGCAGAAATAGAGTTAAAGAGAAAAAGTTTCAGCAGCTTACAAAGCCATTAAAAGAGAGTTAGAGGGTAGAAGCAAGGTCGTGTCCTCGGATGCGAGCTTCGTGGTCCTCGATTCTCACCGCGACTCTGTTTCCTCGGCGATCCTTGCAGCAACCCGAAGCTTGCAATCCTGCTGCTCGAGTTCCCGTTGCTTTTTCGGTTTTTTTTCCCCGCAAATATTTACTTAAAATAAAATAGTATTTCTGATTACTTACTTTTTTTTTTAATATAAAAACTAATTTAATTTTTATCTTGATTTTAAATATAAGACTCAATTCATTCTGTCTATCGTATTTATTTATTTGTTTCTCAAAGTAATTCTTATAGTGATAGTAATTTTAAGTAATAGATATGATTAATAAAGGTATTTTAAGAAAAATAACTTGTATTGTATTATAAATAACTAACTTAACTAATTTTTTTAATCTATTCAAATTAATTAATTAGCTCTTATATTAAAAACAGGATATGCTATTTTCAGTCCTTAATATAAGACATCGTTTGAATTTTATTTTAGTTCTAAATATAAAACTCCAATCCACTTTGCCTCTCATATTTATCTATTTTTTTAAGGTAGTTCCTTCTAATAATGATAGTTCTAACAAATACACTTAATTAGTAAGAATATTTTAAGAAAAACAACAGTTATTTATTATAAGTAACTAACTTAACTTATTTTTTTAATATTTTTAAATTAATCAATCAGTTCTTATAATTAGCACAGTAGACAGTAGTATGTTAGTTAGTTTATACTTGAAGAGGAATTCAATAAAATTGCAACAGACAGTTGAGTGTTTGACTGGTTAATATAGTTTTATTTCTTCCAAATGATTCACAATTTCACATTCACTAGGTCCGTAAATATTGAAAATTTTAATACTCCATAATTCAAGTAAGGTGGCGCAAAATTGATAAAACTACGAAGCGCGCTAGCAGCCGAAGAACCATGGCTCGTATTTCATTTTTAAAAAATATGAATTAAATTTTATTCCATTCCATATTCCATCTCCCAACAACTAGACCGAGATTAGATTTAATAATTTCAAAAAATATGAATTAAATTTTATTCATATTTCATTTTAATTTTATTTATTTCGGTACTCTTTTAACTCCTCAAAAGAAAAAGTTAAAAAAACATAACAGCAAATTTTTTTTAAAACACCCTAAACATTTTTCTTAATTTTCTTACTCCTCTTAATTATTGTTGAAAAAACATTAATAAGGTTAATTTAAAAAAAAAAGATAAGCATGTAAAATAAATTTTGCATATAGAAACAATACTAACTTTTTAATTAGATTCATATTAATTTTTTTTAATTAGATTCTATATTAAGTGTGAAGGAATAGCATTTTCTTCGTTCATCTTTAATTGTACCACTGGGAGGCCGACTAGACAACTAGACAAATGGGTGTATTTGGGTGACACCCCAAACCATGGTTTGGGATGTCAATCACCCAAACACCCCCTCTAAAAACCAAAACCATGGTTTTGGGTCAAAACCATGGTTTTGGAAAAAGCAAAAAATTTTTGCTTTTGGAGAAAAAAGGGAGAGTATGAGAGCCTATATGATGTATCTTTTTATTTTTTTTATAAACATATTTTTTGATAAACATATTTAATCTTATATTTTATAAAATATATACACATTAATTATTTATTAATTATATTATCTTATGTATTATTAATTATGTTGGTAAAAAATATATTATTAACAATTTTATTCCTTCAAATTAAAATATATCATAAAATTTATTTTTTCTGTAATTATCATATTAACTTATGTCTTTTTTTTTAGTAATTTGTATATATAAAAAGTGCTTCTGATAACAACTATCCAAACACTCTCACTTCTCAGAATTACTTTTTTACAAAATCTATTCTTCACAGAATCTATTCTCCCCAGAATCTATTCTCCAGAATCACTTTTCCAATCGGCCATGGTGACGTGCGTTGGCCGTTGGATCAGAATTTCTTTTGCTATCTCGCTCTACAACAGCCCGCATATATATTGTCAAGTCTCATTGAAAAAATAATAATGATACAATAAAACCGCAAGCCCTCTTCGAATTTTCATGATCCCATTCTTTTTAAAGCCCCCATTTACGGACGACCTTTAAAAGGAAATGACTATACGCAAACTGCAGGATGCTGGCTTTTCAATTTTCATTTATACTATCATTTTTTTTTAGAAAAATAAATAAGTAAATCAATTTTATCATCTTACCTACCTGGGGACAGTAGGTAACTAGGTATACAACTATACAGGCAGCTCAGCTGTAATCAAACTACGAATTTCTATGCCTTCAATTCAATTACAGATTACTTGGGAAAATAAGATAAAATAAAAAATAAAGCAAATTACTTCCAGAAAAGAATAGGATAGTTTAAATTCTTCTTTCAAAAAATCCATAGTCAGAATCTAAATTTCAACAGGTTCAGCAATCATGTGGCTGTTATCAAAATTCTTAACCAGACGAAATACCAAAAGCCGTCTAAGCATCGGCAATGTCCGCAAATTTTACCAGAAACTGAGCTAATTCTTTGATCAGTACCCGGCAAATCAAGAGAGTGCTCTTCAATGCTCAGGCAGAGGCCAAGGTCCAGTCAGACTAAGATTTTGTGACATTCTCACCATGTTAACCATTGAGGGCGTGTCATACCCGATTGACCCGCTTACCGTAGGGTCCCTGACATCGCCGCTGACAAATGACTGAGTTAAAGAGTCTCCCCTTGTTGTAGATCTCTGCCATGAATGTGAACTTAATCCCGAGAGAACATAAGCCCTTCCTGTATGTTCATATCGTTCCCTGCTTTCCATCCTCTCCTTAGTTTCCCTCAGTTCAGCATCAAGCCAAGTGCAAGTAGGATCTCCTGCTGAGGCTGAGGCTGAGGCTGAGGACAATAGTATTGATCTTTTTGCTTCCAGTAAAGCTTTTGCACCCCGCAGGTCTCCTCTTTCAGCCAGCCTCTGTGCTTCTGCTATCCCATCAGCCACCATGAGTCTATTTTTATGTCTATCAACCTCCAAGGCCACTGTAAGTTCGTTAGGCTGTGGTGAACCATCTGATCTTCGAATCTCTACTCTCTCACCCTCAACCTTAACTGGCTCTTCCTCAGAGGTTGAGTCTTTGTATTGGCATGTAACACCCAGTAGAGAAGTCTTTATCTCCGTATTGTCTCGTTCACTGGCTGGGATTGCAGGAATTGATAGGTACAACAGAAATCCCTTTTCCTCTTCCGCGTACATGTTACCAACGTCAATGACACATCGCTTCCCCTCACCATGAATTTCACTGATGTATCTCCCCGAGCGTACTGAACTGATTTGCAGCCCTGGTGAAAGTGTTTTGAAGATAAGTTGTACCTCTTGAGCCACAACACTCAGTAGACCCCCAATGCACCTTGCAAAAGCATCTTGCACCATGCCCACAGATTCAATGAAGGAAAATGTGCCACCAGATGCATCAGAGATGGCGTGCAAAGCAATGGAATCATGATCCCTTCCAAAGCCAAAAGAGTGGACAGGAATAGCATTCCCATTTGAATTACGACCGGATGAAAGGGAAGCAGGCAATTGGGGTCCCAATGGCGGAGTTATAATAGGTTGAGACCTGCCATCAGAGAGAAGCATAATGCTGGCAACTGGGTTTCGCTCTCGCCGTTCCTCAAGTACACGAGCTCCTTTTTTGAGCCCGCTCAGAATGTCAGTTCCACCATCCGTTGAAAGAGAATTGACGGCAATGGTTGCATCAGATTGGCCACTATAAGTCATCCTACGAAGTGGAAAAATCCTGAGAGCAGTGGAAGAGAAAACAACTATAGAAAGTCTGTCAGAAGCACCCAGATTCTGAATGACAAAAAGAACAGCCTGTTTGAGAAGTGCAAGCTTTGAACCAGACATGCTGTCACTGACGTCGAGCACTGTAACCAGGTCCACAGGTGCACGATCCTGTTGAGAAAGCGTTGGTGCACGGATGTTGGCAAGGACAGCAAAATTTGAATGAGCTTCAGATGCAGAGAGAACGGGATACTCTGCAAAGTACTTGATAGCCACAACATTAGGTGCAGATGAAACATGTTCTGCAGAGGTAGCTGGAACAAGGAGTGGCTCGTCATCAGAGAAGCGATGAGGCTCAAATATAGCTGAGGGATCTAACAGACGAGGTGGTGAAGCCAATGATCTGAGCCTGCTCCTGACACGGAGAGGAGGGGGAGGAGGGGGAGGAGGAAAATTACTTGGAGCTTGATATGGGATTTCCTTCCATGTGGCGCGACAGATGGGACAGACATGGTTCCCATGCCTGACATTGGAAGCAATACAATTGAAATGGAAGGAATGACCGCACTCAGCAACAAAGATGGCTCGGCCTAGCCCTATCTTCAAGTCACCTAAGCAAATGGTGCAAGTTTTCTGCACAAGTTAACGCAACTCCTTAACAACAATTGACAAAAGAATGGGCCTAAAACAATATCCATAAACATCCATAAATAAGAAAAACGAGATAACATAATTCAGAGCATTGAGGATTTCACGCGAAATTCAAATTTTGCTTTCTAAAAGAAAAGTAGGGTGCCATAAATTTCTCAAAAGCAAAGAGCCATTCTATCCCAACTTTGACAATCTCGAACACCTACACCAAGCAAACACATGAACGGGCCAAGGACAACGAGATCATGATTCTTTAAGCGTTTGGATTCTCTGCTGCTGCCGTCTGATGTATCTGAAGAATCTTTCTTAGTCACGTCATGCAGCAAAATTAATGAAACTGACAATTTGACTCACTTTCTCTACTTTATTTGTTCTTCTTAAAAGAAAACATGATGAAAACCCATAAAAAGAAGAAGAAAAGTTCCTTTTCATGCAGCATGCAAAAGTAGTCAGATTGGCAAGCTCTCGTGATAAGGTGCAAAATTTGGGGTTTGGGACGTAATCCTGGTAGAAGAACTACAAATAAAAAATCAAAGGCAATGTTTCCTATTTTATAGCACCCCATGATCACATAAAGAATCTGAGAAAATGGGAAATTGTCGCCCCAAAATCGAAATTAATCAGACGAATCAAGGAGGAAAAGGGATCAAGATTAATATTAAAGGAAAGGAAATGAGAAGAAATTAAACTCAATAGCCATATGGCCTGCAAAAACTTCAGTGGAGATCACAATTATAAGGGAGGAAGCCCATCCATTTGAGGAATAATTAGGCAAGACCAACAAACGGCATATGCAAGGATCCAGCCATTGAAGAAATAAATTCTCTTTCTTTCATAGCTAAAGAGAAGAATTGAGTTTGAAAATAAAATGGTTTTAGAGACAGTGATCACGGAAGCCGAAACTCAGGGTTCAGTATAGACGCGTCTGCAATGGAAGTTCTGAGAGAGTGGAAGAAATGAACTTCGTCCATAACTGCATGTGAATTACTGAGGCGGAGGAGGAGGAGGACGACGACGAGGAGACGGCGTGGCAGCAGAAAAGTCTTCAGATGTATCGTATGGCTACAATGCGGGCGGGGAGGAGCATCAAACAATTGGACGGAGATGTGGGTCCCGTGGCATATATGATGAGCTGAATCTTAAACCCTTTACTTTTCAATGCCTTTTTCCATTATTGAATTCCAAGAAGACATCGTGTCCAGCAATTCCGTTGACAAACAAAACAAATGAATCATCATTGTAATCACGTGGTCAAATTTCGAAGCGGCACCAGCCGGCTGCACCAAAAAAAGCAACCAACAAAATGTTCTTTTTCCAATGTTGAAAAAGTCTTATTAGTAAAAATATAATATAATAATAATATAGGACCATATCTTAAGTCCCAACTTCGTCCATGAGAAAATAATTTTTCTATACACCAAATCAAACCCTGCAGTCAAGATTGAAAGGATAGGCTGATGACGCGATAAAAAATGAAAAATCATATTTTGTGTTTTCGACTGCAACCTATGCAGCAGCACGAGTCACGAGAGAATAAATAGTACACAGGAGGGTGAAATGGACAATGAAACCCTCCTCAATTGAGTTCGGAGAGAGCCCACTGTCTTGATTTATTCGGGAAAAGGACAGCTGGCAACCTGCCAGTGCCGAATTTTTCGCTCCCGCTTATGCCTCGCCGGGAAAATCAGTTTCAGCGCCGGAGAAACCTCTCCCCGGCGAGGCAAACGAGATCCAGGAGTCAGTAAACAGGCCACCAAACAAACAACAAATATTTAACAAAACGGACATTTTCCGACAAACCAAACAAGCGAACATCTCAATGAAAATTCAAATACACAGCTGGAACTGACCTTAGTAGATCGCATGCTGAGAACCCGAGAGAGGCGGGAAATCGAAGAAGAGGATCGAGATAACACGGAGCTGGAGGAGGTGATGTCAGCGTTGGAAACGGACCGGCAACGAACCGGCGGCGGCGGTAGTTGCGTGTCATTGCAGGAATTTGTGGCAGAGTCAGAAGGAAGCCGAGACGATGAATCGGATTTGGAGGAAGATGACAAGAGGGAAGCGAATGAGTGCTTGAGCTTGCGTATTCCGGACACCATTTTAGCTTCTGTGCGATGCAGAAAGAGGGTGTGTGACAGAGATTTTTTTAAGAGAAAATATGAAGAAATTGGGTGAAATGAAATTGGGGAAGAAGAGCTTGTGTCAAGCACGGTTCTATATAGAAGGAGAAGAAGAAAGAGGTGAAATTTTTAACAGACACAGAGGGCTACGCGGCCAAATCTTCAAGTGATTCACTTCCATGTGTAGTTATAGGCCCCCTCTCTAGGCGAAGCCTGAGATATGGGTTCTCACTTCTCAGATGGGGAGAAGATGGAAGTTATATGGAAATTGTCATATGATGTTTATTACTACTATTTTAATAATGGTTATTACCAATAGTATTTTAATATGTTGAGTGTAGTAATTGTGTGCTAATTCTGTGTTATTACTATATTTAAGCACAACACATCCCAAAAAAAAAAAAACTCCATGGGATATATAAGAGCCTAGAAAATGGTGTAATTTATTTTGCGAAGTATAATATTAAAAGCCAATTCAGATCACCCTGTCAGATTGGTAAATCAGAAAACCAATCTGGTCAACAATTTTGGACGAATTAATGGGATTGGATTTTATATTTTTTCCTCATACTAAATCTAAAATAATACTCCTCCGATCCTAATTATAAGACCCAATTGACTTATTTGAAGAGATTAAGGAAGTAAGTTAATTTGGTTATTTATAATAAATAAGTGTTGTCATTCCTAAAATATCCTTGCTAATTAAGTATATTGGCTAAAACTATCATTATTAGAAGGATTATCTTGAAAAAAAATGTATAAATATAAGAGACAAAATGGATTGGGGTCTTATAATTAGGACCAAATAAAAAGTCAAATGGGGTCTTATAATAAGGACCGGAGGAGTACTCTAATCCTAAATATAAGATCTTTATACTAGTGTATAAGGATCTTATATTTAGAATTGGAGGAGTATTATTTTGAGTAAACAAAATTAAAAGAAAATAGCAATGTTTTGTTTCATTATATATGATTTATAACTAGATATTATTAAATGCTAATATTTTAAAAACAGTATACTTAATCATGTGTGATTGGAGAACCTGACACAATACATATAAAGAATTTGATGTAAATGTTATTCTATAAATAAATAAATGTTTCTAATAATTTTCTAAATGTTATTTTTGAGAACTATATGTAAATATTATATATTCTAATCAAACTGTGGTATTGTTTTAATTCCAAATAGTATTTAATTATTAAATTTATGAAGTATTATGCACATGTACTTGTATTTGTATGGAAAAATGTATTTAAATTTGTATACTTGAGATTGGAGACACATGTATTAAAATATGTATTTAAGTTTGGGTATTTGGAAAAGATGTATTCTTTAGCAAAAAAGGGACATTGTTACTTTTATTCATGATTGAAAGGCAAAGATATTTTCTAGGTTATAACTAAATAGGCAGTCAAAATATAATACCCTTTCGATCTTTAATATAGAATCTAATTGTTAAGTTTATTTTGGTCTTAAATATAAGACTTATTTCTTACATTCATTAATTTTTTTTTTAAATTATCTCTCTAAATACTCCCTCAGCCATAATCAAGTAAAAGAGAGAGGAATGATATTAGAAAAGATGATTATGATGTTTTAGGAAAAACTTGTTATATTTTTTATAATTAATTAATTTATCTAATTTTTTAATCTAATTAAATTAGTTAAATAGGTTTTATATCGAGGATCGAATGAGTATGCACGCACACGCACAGTGCAGAGAGTAAGCTCTCATTTTAGTTTCCGTAACACATTAATGGAATTATTCATCGTCGACGCATGAAAAAACAAATGATGCACAGTATAATTAAAAAATAAAGGAAAAAAAAACATGAAGTAATGGTAAAATGAATTGAGTTTGGACGCTTATCCAAATGTCTCTTTCTTTTTTAATGGCGACAAAGAATTTGGACGCCGTTTAAAATCTCGGTCTCAAGTCTACTGTTTCTTTCTACGGCCACGCTCAACTCGTTGATAACGTGGTGCTAACATAATTTTCATAGTATAAATATGAACTGTCCGTATAATCTGAGAAAAACTAAAACATGGTTCCCTGAGCATTGGATAGAATTAGTCAGCCGCTCTAATCATGATTCAGTGTAACTAACCACTCTTAATTTTTGAAAGTATATTTTTAGTTATTTAAGTCTAACACGAATAATAAAAAATGATGTATTGACTATATATTGATATTTTAAATGTTTTCAAATATTAACATATTTTGTTTAATTTTGAAAACAACCATAATTATTAAAAAAAATAATCATTTAAGATTAATGATTTTAGAATTAGAGGTTTGTTTTTTTTGACCTGAGAATTAAAGGATTAAGACTACATCTTTAAATTGAAATCTTAGTTCAAGTTAAGGGATGAATTTATATATATATACTCTTTCGGTCTTTAATATAAGACCCATTTAACTAATTTGATTATATTAAGGAAGTTAGGTAAATTAGTTACTTATAAAAAATGTAACACGTTTTTCCTAAAACACCATAATCATCTTTTTTAATACCTCATCTCCCTCTTCTATTTGATTACGGTTGAGAGAGTATCCATAGGGATAATTTGAAGAAAATTGATAAATATGATAAATGGGTCTTATATTTAAAACTAAAACCAAGTCAACAATTGGGTCATATATTAAAAACCAGACGAGTATTTGGCTGTTTAAAATATTTACAAAGGTTTTATGTGCGCTGTTATGACAAAGTTATTAACAAGAAGCAAGTGGGATGCATCAATCCAACAAACATTACTAGTGGGTTGTCTGAAATTAGCTCAAATGGCAATACAATAACACGGTAGATTTTTGTTTTTTTGACCAAAAATATTGCGTATATATGGTAGAGCTCAAATCCTCATAAAAGTAACAGTGGAAGAAGAAAATCAAATTAGGTGGATTTGACCATGACGCCGTTCTGTTGATGCAATTCAACACGGCACAATGGAATTAAATAAGCCCGTTTAAAATGGGGATCAAGGACTCGCAAATATGGTAAATGCAGTTTATGGTTGGCAGATGATAGTCTGAAATTTTCGCAGGTTAGGTGAGCCCGTGTTTATTAATGGCCATAAGGTTTTGCATCACTAGCCCACGCACGCCAGTTTACCCAAAAGGGCAAAATTAGTATTCCTTCTCATTCTATGTATAAATTACAAATAATTAAATTATGTAAATAAAAAATATATTTCGAATTGATTAAAAAAATAAATATGTAAAAAAAATTAGTATTATTTTCTATTTAAATATACCCTTATTTAGAAAAGGGTGAGCAGAGAGAAAGAAAGAAAAAAAAATAGATGAGAGAACACAAGGGGTAAAATATATGATAGAAACATATCACTGATTGAAGATAAAAATGAATTAAACTTTTACACAAGTGCAAAGCACAACTTATAAAAACAACTGGCCATTAATTAAAACATGACAAGTTATGTAGTTAATGCATCAATATAGTTGTATAAAACCGCAGTCAGCTGCACTCGATTAATCATTATTATTTTATTATTTACTGCCATGGTGTTTTTGTACTGGTGATGTCATGTTTTAAAAATTATTTGATACTATTTTTATTTATTATTTTTTAGAATTTGATTTATTTCATGGCAATTAACGCAATGTATGAGAGTGACGTGATAAATAGTTATCCAATAATATTAGTTTTCTTTAGATGGGGAGATTGTGAGAGAGCACACCGTGGAGATATAATGGTGTCGCTTAATTCTAAATAATACCTCCGGTCCTTATTATAAGAGCTAGTTAACTAATTTGATCAGATTAAGAAAATAAGTTAAGTTAGTTATTTGTCACAAATAGGTGTTGTCTTTCCTAAAATATCCTTACTAATCAAGTGTATTGGTCCAGAACTGCTATTGTTAGAAAGGCTGTCTTAAAAAAAATATATATAAATATTAGAGACAAAGTGAATTAAAATATTATATTTAGGATCTAAATAAAAATCAAACGAGATTTTATATTAAGAACCGAAAGTAATAATTTAATAATCTTGCCGTCCACACGCTAACTTGGTAAGCTCAGAACAAGACCATGGGAGGCGCAAAACAAAACTAGCTTCTCTATCAAAATTTAAAGGCTATGCCATCACTGACGTGGCTTTGTTTCGTCCTTGGATTAAAAAGAAGGGAGACATTGGAAATTTTATTGTGACAAATAAGTCGAATTTCTTAGCTCATAACCTATAAAATTATAAGTTTAAATTTTGTTAGCGGGAATAGTTCTCTGAAGAGTACAAGAAGAAGAGATGAAGAAGAAAGTGGTGCACTATGTCTTCAAGGCGTGGACAGCACTTTCCTTTAGGCTTAATTCGCCCCCACCTATTCCTATCTTTTAGGGTACAAGTTGGGTTGACCAGCGAATTTCCTTTAGAATGCAATGAAGACCCTTGAATATGGATTGCACTTCCAAAATTCAAGCAAAGACAACAATAGTGATAATTTGACTCTATCTTTGCGTGCACTCAAAGACAAAGGCAATGAGTTTGATCTTAGTGACTGTGTTGTATATTATCTCCAAATAAAATGATGATGAAAGGTTTACATAGAGTATGAAATGATGCCTTGAAATGATACTTTTTAGAATAAAAACTTACTAAATAAAAAGTCATAATCATATGTTGGTTCATGAACCAATATAATTTAAATAAATACAATGAATTTAGTATGTAGGTTCATTTAATATTTTAACTTCCTACATGACCTTTTGTTAAATACAATGTATTTAGTATGTAGGTTCATTTAATATTTTAACTTCCTACATAACCCTTCATATAAATATATTAATTTATATGAAGACACAACCCTTCAAATAAATTTATTAATTTATATGAAGATATAACCCCTCATATAAATTTATTAATCTAATAAATTATATAAGGACATGACTTTTAAAAAAAAAACATATCTCTTCATTTTAAAAATATTCCAACAAATTTTACTACCGATTTAAAAATTTTAACGGTAGGCAGTATGAGCCTTAAAACCCAATTCAACTAAACTTTTTTTATCAAAAAACAAATAAGTCGAATGCTCTGAAATGGTTACACATGGTAGTAGTAAAGATGAGTTGTGGTTATTTCTTTTCCAATATTGCCCCTCAATCCCACACGGTTTTATTAGGATGCTTTTAATTTGTAGGCGTGCTTCATTATTATGATATCATTAATTTCAACGGAAAGAAAATCTGGAAAGTTATATTTTTCTACAAATGTAAAACTGTAAAATTCATTTC